CGGTGATATATATATCGAGACCGATGATGTGAAACGGTCAGAATCGCGACCGCAACCACAACTTTGAACCATGGTCAAGACTCAAGATTGAGTTTTCTCCTTGGTCCTTGCCAGATTCTGGTTAGATGATCATCAACAAACATATTCAGAGAAACCTGCAAATCAGCTTGCTTTGACACTTAATCCAAATCAACAATTTGTTGGATCAGATTGCAGCATGATAATAAATTTCTCGTGATAACCTTATCTATCAGCTATTGCATGAATTTGTAATTCATCCATACCGTTTCTTTTTGCAGGCCTGCCATATTTTTCTCTAAGCTGGGATGTAATGCAAGCCCAACAAATCATGCTTGTTCAGATTCAGCTGTGTACTTGCATACTTCCTGCTCTTGGTTAACATGCAGTATAACAAATCTTAAGGCTTCAATATCATTTTACTAGTGGATCACTCTCAATTACTTGCTAAATTTTAATTTCATGTTGTACCATCAAGCTCTTACTAAGTTTTCAGTGCACTTTTTGCATCTGGATCAATTGCTGCTCAGTCGTCCCTTCTTTTACCTTCTCCTGCACAATTGCTGCTGTTCCTTCTTCGAAACAAGTTTGGCCTAAAGATCAGGTATGGAATTAGTTTCCTATTCTTTCATTCTTGGGTTTTCCTTACATTGATTTTGTTCCATGGATTTTGCTTATGAATATGTTTTTTTTTGTGGTCCTAGTGCGATTTGGCTGCAAATTTTGATTCACTGATACAATAATAAACTCATAACTCTAAGGGTCTGTTCGATTGGACAGAAAACATTTTCCAAAGTTTCTACTGTTGAGATATGATTTCTGACGGCATCTCCAGAAATCACACCCTTTTCTTTTCACAGTCTGTAACTGAAAAAGATGATTGAAGACTATCCATAAAAGACCATCGGCAGCGACATCTCATCGGCAAACCAATCCCTTCTTCGCCGACAGCATCTCCAGCTCCGGCGGAGACCCACTTTCAGAGGTAAGCTACTCCTCCAATAAGGTTATTCTCCTTTTAAAAATCAGCTACAATTATCATCTCTCTCTCTCTCATTTTTTTTCTTTAAAAGCAGCCAATATCAAGGCTCATCCCCACTCTGGGGGCGATATCTCATCCCTGTTCCTGCAACAGCATTTCCAACAGGGGTGAAGACTCCTTAACTATTTCCAGAGGTATGATGATCTCTTATTAGTTTTTTTCCGCCATTTTCCTTTGAAAAATTGTCTAGAATTACTGGTGTAGGTTCTTGAAGTTGGATTGGAATGAATTTTTGTGGGTTGCTTTTGTTTTAGTTTGCTCTTACCTGATTAGGGTTACATTTGATTTGATTGATGCTAATGAATTAATTTGGCTGCTGAATTTTGGGCATTTTATGATTCTTGGAATCTGATTATTAATCTTGGTGCTCTTGTCTCGACTCTCTAACTTGCTCCGAATCCAGGTAGGGTAGGGTAGTGTTTTTCTTACAATCTGGTGAGACCATTTGTAAAAGTTTTAGTGCATTCATTGAGTTTGTGAAGCCACGGGCGGATTCTTGCCATAGGTGCTTGATTGAAAAAGGAGTTATTTAATAATATAAGTCAAAACTTTGAAACCAAAAAAAAAAAAAAAGATCCTTCCCCCAAGTCTATCGGAGCAGCCTTAAACTTTTCAGTTCCATTAACTTAATATAACCGTGGAAACACAGAATGCTTTGGATATATTCCCAAATCAGTGAATGTTTTGACATAGCAACAAGCGAATCACCCAATGGCAATGACGACTCTGTCGTAAAATGATCACTGAGGTTTGTCATCTTGGCAAATACAAGAAACCACAAATAAGTATTCTACTAAAGAAGATGCGGCCAGAAGTAAAACCGGACTTACACAGGACATAGTCCATAGACATCATCGGGGAACTGGGGACAAAATCACTAAAACAGAAAAAGGTACTTGCTGGGTTTATCTTGTTGGGTTGTTAAGCAATGCTAGCTTCTATAAGGGCTGCACAAATCTTTTATTTATAGCAGTACTTATCAGCGTTTAATTTCGGATAGACTCATGAATTCCTTTGGTCCTTTTCTCGAGCAACGAATATATTGATGGAGTTCTTGTTTGTTGGCAAATTTCAAAGTCTTCATTCCCTGTCAAGGTTAGACTTCGTAGTTCTCTAAAACGTCAAGATTATTTGGAAATGTTGCAGCATCTTTCCCTGTTTCTGATGATATCTCTATCTGCCCTAAATCATTTAATCTTATCATTTATCACATGTATTCTGCTTGCTTCATCACTTGACTTTATTTCCAAGTGCCAAGTTCCAACTTGTTGAATATCAAGAAAAAAACCTTATTCTGGTCCCATTTTGGCATTTTCAAGTTAGAAGCTTTTGTTTTTCTAAGGAGTAATACTTGTACACATTTAGCTGAGGTTATGTCCCTAATTTTAGAAGCATGTAAATCTAAAGTCACATTGTTTAGACATTTAAAATAATAAGCCTAGAACTTTTAGACCAGGACAAACAATGAGGGAGAGCACCTGATTGCCCATTTTCTTTCAAATTAATCTTACAATTTGGTTCCTCCCATGTTTAAGATATCTGTCAATTGAAACCCATGCTTGAGTTAGTGTTTCCCCAGATTAACATACTCTCTAGTAAAACGACAACATCAAATCTTAGCATTGTAAAGTTTTTTATTGGATGAGCACAATATAGCCAGGTGTACCAACAGTCGAATAAGCCTGTAATGTACCAACATTGATTACTCAAGGAACTTAAAAGATTCATGCATCCTTGCCTTGCCCAGTTTCTACAAGATGTTATAGCAACTCTTTAAAGATGGAGCTATGTAGCATTTGTTGATCTTTTAACATATTTAATGAAGTGCAAAGGATTGTAATTTCCTCAAGTTGGTCGTTTACTAGGATTTCCAAATAGTAATGGTTGACAAGGACAGACTAGTAGCAAAGAAGTAAATTTCATAACCTTTTTTTTAATCTCAATTTCAGATATAAAAATTACTCATTGGATGGATTTTGTGTAAAACCAGACTGGTCATTGCATTCTCAAACTTCAGTTGTATAGGAGTAACAGACTTGTGTACTTCCATCAATATGGCTTTTTCAGCACTTAAATTCGTAAATTGCCAAAAAGCTCAAATCTTCTGCTATCTATTTCTTTGTGTTGCATTAGCCTAAAACTTATGGATGATGGATTAGGAAAGGAAATAGACATTTAATTTTCATATCAAAGTTACAAGTTGTTGGTGGCCATTTTCCATGGAAGTCTAGAGTTGGGTGCAATGGGCACAATATACGGCCCTCAATAAATCCCCACCACAAGCCTTATTTGAAAAAGAATCTAAATGCTAGCCATAGATGTCATTAAGGTTCAGCTTCGTTGATCTTTCTATGACCAACCTTTTTGAAGTTTGAATAGAATGTTTTCATGCTGTAGGACAAAGTTGAAGCAAACAGAAGTTGACTACCAGAATTTTGATAATGCCTGAATCACTTGCTTTAAAAAAGAAAGTTTGTACTTGATTACACTAAAGTTTTACTGAATTATAATATACAGTAATTAAGGGGAATTATTAAAGTTTTACTTCAATATGCAAGTGAGGTATGTATAAACATCAATGGTTTCAAACTCGGCCGGACTGGCCGGTTCGACCGCGACCCGACCATGTGTCCGGTCCGGTTCATAGCCTATGGTGACTTGGTCCAAGAACCGGTCAAACTCGTAAAAACCGTTTAAATCGGAATGAACCGTGAACCGCGGTTTTTTAATTTTTGGCAAAATTGACTGAATTTTGACGAGTAAATTCCCAAAAAGAGGGATTTTTTAATCTAACTTCCCAAAGGGTGGCGATTTTTGAGTCTCTTCTCAAAGGGTGAAAAATGCATTCAAGGAATGCGTTTTTTCAAATAAAAACGTAATTTTCAAATACGTTATTTTAATTTTCATAAATTTATTTAAATAGAAAAAATTGGTTAAAAACGCATTAGTGGAATGCATTGTTTGATAGAAAACGCATTTCGCTAATGCGCTATTGTTTAAGAAACCCATTAGATGAATGCGGTTTTCGTTTATCAATATGTACCACTTTTTTCCATTTCTTTGATCTTGACTTGGGTTATGTAAGGTTTTTTTTTTAAAAAAAATATTATCTTATTATTTTATGGAAGTTATTATTAATTTAGCTCACTAACACAAGTCAAGATAAAAAAAAAATTTATTTCATAGTTGTTATTAATTTATCTGGTATAGATTTCATTTCAAGTTTGCAAAGGCTTAAAGGTTTTTGAACTTTGGATTTTACATATGCATGCACATATTTTGTATCTTAAATGTTGGTAATTTGTCTTAAAAATCGTAACAATTTTTCTAAAGAAAATTTTACGATTCATAAAAAGTTAATCCTAAATATTTAGTGTAAAAATATGATGGCCCAAAATGAGTTAGAATAATCACATATCTTGAAAACTTTAATCAAAGGGAAAATTGCGAAACTCCTCTCATTTTTCCTCATTTTCAACTATTTATATCACATGTTAAGCAAAAACTTGCATATTCAAATATGTCATAAGGGGATATAATGTCACATCTAATTTTATATACTATGTTTACTTGGTTTTCAATCCAAATTTTCTTATACAATAAGAATTCTTATAACAAGACAAGTACCGGGGATTAGAATAGATTCCTAGATATGCTAAAAACTCATTTAGCAATCAGTTTTTTTTTATTAATAAACGCATTTCCAAAATGGGTTTTAGGCCAAAAAATGCATTCATTAAATGAGACTTTTTAAAACAGCGCATCCCACTAATGCATTTTTTAACTAATTTTTTCTATTTAAATAAATTTATGAAAATTAAAATAACGTATTTAAAAATTACGTTTTTATTTGAAAATCATTCGGGGAGAGACTAAAAAATTACCGCCCTTTAGGAAGTTAGATTAAAAAATCCCTCTTTTTGGGAATTTACTCGAATTTTGACCGATTTATCTAAACCTAATCTCCGGTTCACTCTTCAATCTTCATTCAGTCTTCTTCTTCGCTGCGCCGCTTCGCCGCTTCGGTCTTCCCACTTCCCCTGCAATTGCCAAAATTGCCTGCCGTCCCTAATCCCTTATCCAAACTCCAATCTTTGATCCAGTGCTATTTCCACACTTGCTCATCGATCAATACCCAATTTCTTCCCGTTAGATTTTCCTCCAGGAATTTGGGCGATAACCAGTTCACTGACCTACCTCACTGTCAAAGAATAGCGGCTTAAATTTAGTGTAAGCTTGCTCAAACTTTAATCTCATCCTCGTTTTGGTTCCATTATATAGAGTTTTCTGTTAGATGGATAAACTGCTTGGTTATAAAAGTTTAGAAACTTTTAGAGGTAAGTTTAGAGGTAAGCAACTTACCTCTGGATTGCTGCTTGTCACTGGTAAGTTTAGAAATCTTGCATTTCTTTACGTGATTTTGTTTTTGGTTTTTAGTCTTAATTTAAAAAAATTTGTGGGGTTCTGAGTCCTTGGTGGTGTTTAATGAATTGCCGTAAAAAAGATTTGAAAGTAATTTTAATTGTTTCCTTTGTGTTAAAATTTCAAGTTTCTTGCTGATGATATAATGCAGCGATTGAGTTGTAAACTTGTGGGATTCTGTGGAAATAATTGCATCTCTAATTTGATGCCTTTTCTAAGGTCAAATGGTTTTTGATAAACAATTTGATGGTTGTCTGATGAGTATTAGGTTACATTATATGGAATTCGTATGGTTAAATTTGGGCAGTTGTAGCATATCTTCTTAGGTCCAACAGCTACTGATTGGCTTAGAATGGAGGTGCTACTGACAAAATGTTGGAAGGATGAAGATAAAACAATGGTTTTAACTTAATTAATGTAGATGAGATTTTACTTAACCTAATGTAGATGAGTCTGTTTTGTCTTCTGTTGGACGTGAGCTGAGTATATGGTTTCAAAGGGCTTCCATATTGACGTGCTAATCCAAAGTCACAGATCTTCAACTCACCACAATTATTTAAAAGTATATTTGATGTCTTTAAATCTCTGTGCAAAACCCAGTTATCATGAAGATACTTAACACCCTCAAGAAGCTGAAGCATGAGGCACTTAACTTCACTCTCCCTAAACGGTTGTTTCATTGTCTCCATTAACCACTTCAGATCTTTGGTGACAGTTTCAGTTCCCAAATACAAATAGTCTTAAGCATCATTGATTCTACTAAAATTATTGCATTGCATCAAAATTTATATCTTATATTGCATTGCATCATTGGTGACAGTTTCAGTTTTTTTGTTAATTCTAATATTTAGACAATTGGACATATAAGTTGGATAACTATGATATTGCTCTTATTTTAATTGTGGTTTATCATTTATATCTTATTTTGTGCATAGGTGTGTGTGTGTGTCTATATATATATATATATATATATATATATATATACATATATATATTTATTTATTTATTTATTGAACCGGGGTTGAGCCGGTCCGACCGGTTGAACCTCGACCCTTTCATTTCACCGGTTCGATTAACAGTCCGGGTTTTAAAACATTGATAAACATTGATATATGAGATATTCATTGAATAATAAGTTGAGATTCATGCATCCTTGCCCTTTCAACTTACTTGGATTGCACTCTTTGAATGACTTCCTTCTAAAAGACTTCTCGTCCTTTTCTAAAAGTATTTGGCCCTAAAAAAGACCTCAATGATAGTGCATTGCACTACCATTGAACTTCAACAAATATATTGCCATCACGAATTCATACACTTACTAGTTCTTTATTTTTACAGAAATAATATAGTCAAAAGCTACCTTCTTGGAATCTGATTATTAATTTCAGTGGCTTTTATCCATTGGGAACTTGCACTTGCAATTCTGACTATCTTTAAAGATTTGGGGGTGGAGAGTTGCTTGACTGCTTTTATCCATTGGGAACTTGCACTTGCAATTCTGACTATCTTTAAAGATTTGTGGTGGAGAGTTGCTTGACTTAGGCTTTCAGTTTGTTCATTTGGAGCAGAGTTTGTTCTTTCGGATATGGACTATCCAGGAAGTTGTAATTGAATATGTTTGTTGCTGTTGTTGATGGATTATCATTTTTTCCTCCTAAGCTTCTTGTCGATTTCAATTGTTGGCATTTGCTGGTGTTCTAGTGTTGTATACTAGTTTGTTTAGAGCAATGTCCTTTAATGATTTTGTGAAGCTGCACAATGGACATGGGAACTTGGACTGTTTCATTATGCTTACATTCTTGTTTTTTGTTGTAATCAGTGGTTATTGCTTGTAGTATGATCAGATGAACAAGATGTTGATTGTGACTATTTAAAGACACTAAGCAATTTTCTTTTGGTGGAAACTGACCCTTGGAGAGTGCTCTGTTTCTTCTGTCTAGAGCCATAGTTGTCAAAAGAAGACATAGTTGTTAGAATCAATGTTGCAGACCTGACTGCATAATGTTGGCAAGTTGTGTATTGATGTAAATTCCTAGGATAAAGGTTTCAGTTGTGATTATTTTCTGATTCAAAGGGTGTAGGTATTGGTAATGGTTGTACTGAGGTATTCTGCTTGGCTTGTTGCTTAAGTTGATCATCTGCTTACATCAAAGATGAATTATTCTTTCTTCAATTTTGTGTCTTAAATGACTGCATGTTTTGTGGTATTCTGCTTGGCTTGTTGCTTAAGTTGGTCCTTAAAGAAGATGATAATTAATTTTAGTTACCTGATACCAAATATCAAGTTGGTTGATGACCTGGATGCACATTTTGTGGCAAAAATTATTTATGGATTCTAGTTTATACAGCATAAATAAAGGTTGATTTGGAGAGAATATTGCACAGCTTGCTAAGTTTTGGGTTTTGGAGAAGACGGTGCAGCACTTGAAGAACTTAAGTTTTGTATAAAATTGTTGATGGATACAAGTCCTTTCAAGTTGCATTCTCTTCCCCTTTTGTCTTAGCTCTTCTATATGGCAAATTGTTGATCAAATCAACTGAAACAAGCATTCTTTTGCCTTGAACGATCTGGTTCTATCAGGATCAATCTATTTATCCTCTTTGTTTTTTTCCCCTCTAACAAAGCGCCAGTGTGGTGCCTTGTTCTATTTGGATTCTACTTGTGGTTAGATTGTGCTTAATTGAATTCACTTGTAAATCTTTTTTCTTTTTGGGATGATTTAGGTTTTGCTGAAGGTGAAACTAAGTGCAAAATGCTCCAGAATGTTCCACATCAGATTGTGCAATCTCCAGCTAGGCTAGGGTTACCAAATCCAAATTCACCTTCTCTTCAAAACACTACTCCGGCTAAGTTTGCCTCCCAAGCCCAGCAATCTCATCCACCCAATCAACAGCCATATGCATCAAGCATTATTCCAACTTCTTCAACACTTCTTCCTCTCCTTCCCCCTCTGCCAAGAGCTCAGTCTATTCTTCTGCAAATGTCCTCACTTGCCTCAAGACTTTTTGATGTCTCACCTAATAGGTCGCATTGGATTAGCGCATTTCGAGGTTCCCTACCCTCCTTCTTGTCTTCCCAATCCCAACCTTTGACATCAACTGCACCAGATTCCTACCCTTCTTCCTCCAAAGAAATTCTCGCTCTTTTCACAAACCTTCAAACTCAGCTATTTGAAGCTGTTGCAGAGCTCCAAGAAATTCTTGATCTTCAAGATGGAAAACAGAAACTCTCGCACGAAATCAGGTCAAAAGATGCTGCAATTCTTGCACTTGCAAGCAAGCTCAAAGAAGCTGAGCAGGTTCTTGACAACCTTGTGGATGATTACTCGGATTATCGCCGTTCAAAACGGTCCAAGTCAGAAGATGTTGCAGAAGATTCTTCAACCACCACTGTGGCATCTCAGCTGAAGCTTTCTGATATATTGTCATATGCCCATAGGATAAGCTACACTACTTTTGCACCACCAGAATTTGGTGCTGGACAGGCTCCTCTCCGTGGGGCACTCCCACCTGCTCCACAGGAGGAGCAAATGCGGGCATCCCAACTGTACGCTTTTGCTGATCATGATGTTGGTTTACCAAAAACAGATGAGGATAAGAAGAAAACTATAGAGCCATTGATCGAAACTCCTGTTGGGCAACCAGCAGAGCCAAATCCACTGGCCAATCTTGCTGGAATGCAGGGTCTACTTCCACCTAATATTGCTATGCCATCAGGATGGAAACCTGGAATGCCCGTGGAGTTGCCCAGTGATCTACCTATTCTTCCTCCACCTGGTTGGAAACCTGGTGATCCAGTGGCACTGCCCCCATTGGATTCTCTTCCTATACCTCCTAGAATTGAAGAGCAACAACCTCAGCATATCCCCCCTCCAATGCTTACAAAGGCACCCGAGCCTATACAAGTTCGGCATGTGCAGCTTGACATTGACGATGACAGTAGTGATTATAGCAGTGATGTTGGTAGCTCTGACAGTGAAGATTAGTCCTAGACTCCAGTGCTTTTATGTCGATGTAAATTCTGAAATGCTACGTAGAACATCTTTCAAAGAGGATTGAAGTTGCTATCTCTAGCCTGTACTTTCTGCTGATGAAATTGAAGTTTTATTAGAATTCTGCAATTCCTCGAAGGCTGTCTAACCTTTCAATTTGCTGAACATTTCTCGCAATCCGTTCTAGTACTGGTTTTGATTCTAAGGTGTTATTGGAAGCCTGGTTGAGTGAGCATGATCTTTTAAATTGACATTACACTGACATTACACACTTATGTAATGTTTTTATGTAGATTCTGATGCAATAGATTTTTATGTTTTACCTTTGACGTACTTTTGTGATAATTGATCATCTTCTGGACGGTCGTACATATATTGTGTCTTCCGCAAGATGAGGAACGAATGAAAGCAGAAAAGCTGCACCTTTTCCTCAGTCAATACATCTAAGTACTCCCAGAAAATCAGCTGAATCAGTGCCTTCATAAAAAAGCATTTCAGTCTTCGCAGCATCAAGAGGAAATTGGGATTGTCACAGGGAATTGGGGTTGCGGTGCTTTTGGTGGAGATCCTCAACTTAAAGCTATTATTCAGTGGCTTGCTGCTTCTCAGGTGATGCCTTCTACGGGCTTCATTTTCAGCTTCTTTATGTGGTGCAATGCACCAAGTGTGATTAACTGATTCCATATTGGACATTATGACATTTTGCTAGTCTGGAAAGATTTATTTACTGTGTTCTGTTTTCTGTTCTAATTCTTCTTTCTCAGTCTTATATTCCTAGTAAATATTAGATATCCATGTTAATTGTCAGGTGAACCATTTCTATATGTTATTTGATAATACTGAGAAAGTTGCTGAGCTATTTTGAGCTAATGTATTGCCTTGCGGAAAAAATGGATCTGTCATGATGTTGTGTTTAGTCCAAATTTATTCTGAGATTGCTTCTTGATATATGCTGCTCTTTACTTACGTCTTCGTTTCTGTCATCATGATTGAATTCTTGAAAGAATTGCAAACATGTGACTTACTAAATCCTTTCTACTGCTGTTGTAATGGAATCTGGTTTAGGAATGGATGCTTGGCCCGTATCCTATTTGTGTAATACCATAATTATTTGACATACAATATGGACATTCTTTCTCTTTCCGAAGACATCAGTTCATAGATTTCGTGCATTTTGTTATCAACTGGTTTTATTTAGTCTTCTCCTTTCAGTTCTTCTATGATTTTTCTGATATTGTCCTATGTTCCAGGCATTAAGACCTTTCATCTTGTACCACACATTTGGTTTGGAGACATTGGAGGTGCTAGATCAGGTACTTAACTTCTGCCAGCTGTAAATGATGTTTAACGTATTGATTTGAATGTATATGAGATTTTTTCTCTTTTTTTTTTATTGTTTTTCTGCTGAATAATGGATTTCTGTTTTAGGAGCACCAAAATAAGTAAAGGACAAGTGGTCTTGGTTACTTTGTCAGCTTTAAGTATGTGGCCTTAAAAAAGGATGATCTTTGGAGTATTTCTTTGTATTCAGACACTTACCCCCTCCATCATAATTTGTTCTTCACTTCTGGGTCCCAATTCCTATTGCACTTACCTGCACAATTCTCATGTATATCCACATGCACTTGTAGTCAGCTTCTTCAAGGCCAAGCTATAAAAAGTACACGATTGACCACTATTTGTGCATTGTTATTTCGAAAGGGGTTTCCTAAAAGTGAAGAACAAACTGTATTCTAGTCCTGCAATCTTCTTTTAGAGATGTGATCAAATGGTCAAATTGTGACTAAGTGTGGTGTCTCCTCCAAGCATTTTCTTAATGCTAATCTTAAAAGGCAAACTATCCTTTGGTTGGTTACCTTTGCCAAGGTTTAGTTTGCCCCTTTGACTCAAATTCATTTGGTCCATTTATTAACTATAGCTCAAAGATGGTTGCCATTATCTTTTGGAGTTCTTCTGTTAAATTTATTATCATTTCTTGAACAAGGAACTTCCCTTGTTTTTAAGGTTGTGGCAGACTAAGTTCAAATTCAAAAAGTAACAAATCGGTGGTGAAGGAGCACGGTTGAAACTTTACCAAATTTAGTGCTCGATGATGTGGCTGTTGCATTTCAAATACTGAAATAATTTCTTGTCAATTGTTTATGCTGCTGGATACTGTGTCTCCTGCACTTTGCGAATTATAGGTCTAACACGCGGCCTATTATTCATTAGATTCTTAGATCTGACTGATTGAACTTTGGACCACCTTTCATTATTTTATGGATGGACACTTTCTTTTCATGCCCATTGGTTGTTGACAATTTCTCTTTTAGGTGACTCGCTGGATTATATCCCATGAGTGGACTGTTGGAGAACTTTGGAATATGATGGTTGAGTACGGATCCAAGAGATTAAAAGGTGAAGCCAGAGTTGGCTTTTTCAGTTGGCTCCTTCCCTTGGTAGATTCCAATGATGCATGAGCTGTTGGGCATCACCTCAATCTTCATGAGATTTACTGAGCATTGACCAAAATTTCTTCTTTGGTGGGCACTTTCTTGGCTTGGTGCGGCTCATATTTGATTCACTATGGAAGACTAGCATAGTGTAAATGCTTTCACTGTTAGTTGCACTGTGGAAATATAGAATACTCGGCATAATTTTTCCCTATAGGGGTGCGTGGTCTGTGTATCTGAGGGACATTTTATTGTTCGTTAGTGACAAAAAAGAAGTGCATCTGGAGTTGCTCTGCGCCAATGGTTGATTTTGTCTGACCCAAGATCTCCTTTGCAATTCACCTGTAAGGGAGAATGGATGAGCTCAAGGGCAGGTAAAATGAAGGCATTCTAGCTATTCATTGAACAAGAAAATGACAGGAGAGGGGGGGTTGCATGCACGGAGATGGAGGGTATTTACTATCTGCTGCCCACTGCCCCGGATTTGAAACTGCTGTGGAAGCATATGCGATCAAACTCTGGCTTGCGACAGCAACTCTGCTGCTATCAGAATTTGTTGGTTAGAAAGCTTTGTCCATAACCAACCTAGTTATGAGGATCTAACCCGCATTCATGTAATACCTTTCTTTCTTGTTTAGTGAACGGAGGCTCGTAGAATTCGCTGAAAGATAGGATCAGCTGTTTGGTACGTCTCCTTTTGTACCTATAATTAAGTCTATACACGTTAGGATGAGGTTCAAAAGTTACCATTCATACAAGGACCATTAATTTGACATATCTTTTACTTCCACAAAATAAAATAGGGGAAAAAAATTCTCATTACTGAAAATTGGTCTACACAAACTAGGGCTGTTCACGAATTGGATTGCGAGCGCCTCGAATACGAGCTCGACTCGAGCTCGGTCAATATCAAGCTCGAGTCGAGCTTGAGCTCAAAAACATTAAGATCGTTGGCTCGCGAGTTCGATTATATGTATGTATCTTTTATTTTTTATTTTAATAGTAAAATTACATATATATTCTTAATATTTTATTATTTGTTAAGAAAAATTATTATTTTATTTATTTTTAAAATAAAATAATTATTTTTTATTTTTTAAAAATAAAATAATTATTTTTATTTTTTAACCTCGAGCTCGACTCAAATTTGAGTTCGTTGAGCTCGAGCTCGAGCTCGAGTTCCAGTTTTGTAAAATTAACTAGAGGTTCGGTTCGATTAGATCAAAACTCAATTCGACTCGATTCGTTTGCACCCTTAACACAAACACAAGCATTGGGTAGAGCGGGATTAATTTAATGCATGTCTAGACTTGTAAGAGGGTGGTGGATAAACTTGCCCTGATAATGACTTTAGGGGATTAATTCTTTCTTTGTGCTTGATGTTTCATGATGAACATCAATTTTTTTGTTTGGGGTGGTTTTGAGAGTTCGAGTTTGAAAATATTTTTTACCGTTCCAATGATTAGCTTATTGTAATTTTCCCATTCCAGGGATTATTTTACCTACTTATATCCTTTTTTTTTCTTTTTCAATGCTCTTAGTAGGCCAGATGCTCTCGTGCTAACTATCCCATAATTTGAAATTAAAAAAAAAATCTAATTTGGCATCTAAAAGAGGATCCAATATTAGGCATCTTTTTTCCAATTTATGCACTTGATAAATAAAAGGAACCAAATATAAAAAGATTTTAGTTGAGCTAAATTTTCTTATAATTGTGGTGACAGCAAGAATCTTAAGGTATGAAAAAAAAATGTTTTGTTAAATTTTGGAAGTTGTTATTTTTTGTATGAATAATGGATATATTTTAGGGTTAATTACATTTACCTCCCCTGAGGTTTGACCATATTACCAATCAATCCCTGTAATTTGTCCAAATAACGGTCTCACCCTTTGAATGATCAAACATTTAACAAAAACCCCCTTAATGCCGAAAATGCCCTTATTGAGGCCATATTGCATTAAAAAAAGAATATATTTTTATTTATTAACCTTCAAGTAATCCAAAAAAATAGAAAAAGTTTTTGCTTATTATTTTATAAAAATCACATCTTTACTTCCATAAATAGTTTTGAATCAATAATTATTTTAAATCTTAAAAATGAATATTAAAAATTATATAAATTGAAAGAAAAATAAAAAAGAAGCAATTATTTTAAATCCTCAAGTATGGTTCGAATTTGTGGTTCAAGGCATGTTGCGGAGAGCACAAGGCATGTTTTCCTCAATTTGAACCATACTCTAGGAATTAAAATAATTTCTTCTTTTTTTATTTTTCTTTCAATTTATCTAATTTTTAATATTCATTTTTAAGATTTAAAATAATTATTGATTCAAAACTATTTATGGAAGCAAAGATATGGTTTTTATAAAATAATAAGCAAAAACTTTTTTCTATTTTTTTGGATTGCTTCAGGGTTAATAAAATAAAAATATGTTCTTTTTTTAATGCAACATGGCCTCAATAAGGGTATTTTCGCCATTAAGGGGGTTTTTGTTAAATGTTTGATCATTCAAAGGGTGAGACCGTTATTTGGACAAATTACAAGGATTGATTGGTAATATGGTCAAACCTCAGGGGAGGTAAATGTAATTAACCCTATATTTTATTGACCCTGTATAGTAATGGCCCCATAAGTAAATTAACAAGTTAGATCAAATATTTAATGTAACTAGTATAATAATTGAGGGGCAATTTTGGCATAAAAAAATCTTCTCACATCTGAAATTATTTTCTTATTGTTGCTTTTTTGAATTGGATTAAATTGTTACAAGAAAATTAGTTTTAAGGGAGGTTAGTAATATTTTTAGAACCTCAGGGGAGGGGCAGTGAAACTATTAGAAACCTCCCCTGTTATCCCTATTATTGTATCATCCTTGCTCCGGAAACCTGCCTTTCCACTGCTAGTGCTGGAGTAGAAAACAGTCGCAGGATACCAAGTTTTCGGGTTAATTTCACTTTATCCCCCCAAACTTTGGACGATTACTCACTTTAGTCCCTAAACTTCAAAATGGGACACTTAAGTCACTAAAACTTATAAATTTGGACACTTAACTCCCTAAACTTATAAAATCGGACACTTAAATCCCTAAACTCTTATAAAATGGGACACTTCGACCACCATGGCATTCAGGATTTTGTTAACAATTTTCCTTAATTGGGAGGTATTTATAAGTTTAGGGATTTACTTGTCCTATTCTAAAGTTTAGGGACTAAAGTGAATAACCGTCCAAAGTTTGGGGGGACAAAGTGGAATTAACCCCCAAGTTTGCTGTCTTTTGTAGTCCGTAAGAACTAAGAAAGAATTGAGGAGACCGGTTTCCATCGGCAAAGCAAAGAACTTCAGCACTCCACCTCTCTATCTCTCCTTCTCTGGATTCAAGCTTTTCACAGTACCAAAACAAAATACTATTGTAAGTGGTAAGAAGCCCGCATTCAAATCCCTTTCTTGGTTACCACTAAACTTTTGTACCTTCTATGTGAGTCCTTCTGGAGTTAGTAGTAGTACAAATATATGCAAGTCCTCCCTGCTGCATGTTGCCTTTTTCGTTTTTTTTTTCCCCAAATCAAAGTTTGAATCTTTCTCTGTGATTTCAATTGAAAAGTGGACAGCATCTTTTCCACTGGGGAGTGAGGGGTTGTGGGAGTTTTCCTATGGAGATAACCTTGAGACATCTTCTCATGTAATTGTAATTTAAAGCTTCTCTATTGTTATCTATTTGTCCTTTTCTTTTCTTTTAATCCTTGGAGAATTGCACATTTCCATTTTTCTGCTACAAAGGAAGGGGTTGCTCTATGGGGCTTTGTTTGTTAATTCCACATTTTGAGGCTCTTGGGTTGGCTGTTGAAATAAGTAGTCTGTATTTAGCTGGTATCCCATTTTTCAGCACTCCACTGCTGTTGGCGTTTGCTAAATTCTGATTTTTTTTCAAAAGGATCTTTTAGTTTCATGCCCTTTTATATATATCTAGCAGCAGAAGAGATGTCTGTGGCGGCTTCGGCTGCTGCTGCTGCTGTTGGGGCTGGGGCGGTCGCCTTGTTCAGACTAAACAGGTTGCCTTCTTCCCCCTCCACCTCCTCCTGCTCTTGTCTTCTTCTCAAAGGACTCCGAGCTTTTGCACCATTTCCATACCGATACCACTTCGCTTCTTATTCTACTTCTTCTTTGCTTTCACAAGAAGCAGCAGCTGTTGCTTCCCAACTTCCACGCTCACACGCCGCCAATACCTCCTCCAATGTGGTGGAAATTCTTGAACAGAGAGGCCTGCTGGAATCTCTCACCAGCGATAGTCTCAGGTCGGTCTGCTCCTCCTCTGCCCCTAACCAAGCACCTCTTCGAGTCTACTGTGGTTTTGACCCCACCGCTGATAGCCTCCACCTCGGCAATCTCCTTGGCATTATTGTCCTCTCTTGGTTCCTCCGCTGCGGTCATCGTGCTGTCGCTCTCATTGGGGGAGCCACCGGCCGCGTAGGCGACCCTTCTGGCAAGAGTTCCGAAAGGCCTGAGCTTGACCTTGAAACCCTCCATAAGAACATTTCTGGGATTTCCGCCACCATTTGCCACATTCTTAGCAGGGCTGCTCCTATCCCTGATTCTGTTTCTATCCTGAATAATTATGAGTGGTGGAAAGATGTTAGGCTGCTGGATTTCCTCAAGGATGTTGGGAGGTATGCGAGGGTGGGCACCATGATGTCCAAGGAAAGCGTCCGCAAGAGGCTTGAATCTGATCAGGGCATGAGCTACACTGAGTTCACCTACCAGATCCTGCAGGGCTACGACTTTGTCCATCTCTTTCGCCAAGAAGGAGTCTCTGTTCAGATCGGTGGCAGCGATCAATGGGGCAACATCACTGCCGGGACTGACCTTATCCGCAGAATTCTTCGCGTTGAAGGGGCAGCCCATGGACTCACATTCCCTCTCCTCCTCAAGAGTGATGGTACTAAATTTGGAAAATCAGAGGATGGTGCCATTTGGCTTTCCCCTTCCAAGTTGACCCCTTATAACTTTTACCAGTATTTCTTTTCAGTTCCTGATGATGATGTTGTTAGGTTCCTCAAGATACTTACTTTCTTGAGCTTGGAGGAGATTGCACGGCTGGAAAGGGACATGGATACCCCCGGCTATGTTCCCAACACTGCCCAGCGTAGGCTGGCTGAGGAGGTTACTCGCTTTGTACATGGCCAAGAGGGTCTGGACGAGGCTCTCAAGGCCACTGAGGCTCTGAGGCCTGGGGCAGCTACCAAGTTGGATGCTAAAACCATTGAGGGGATTGGAGAGGATGTTCCTTCTTGTTCGCTGCCTTACGATCAGGTCCTGAGTCTGTCTCTGTTGGATCTCTCCGTTTCAAGTGGATTGCTTGAGAGTAAATCAACAGCACGGCGTCTACTCAAGCAAGGAGGGCTTTATCTGAACAACGGTAGGGTTGACAGTGAGGCGAAAAAGATTGAGGCAAATGATATTATAGACGGAAAAGTTATCCTTTTATCTGCTGGAAAGAAGAATAAGATGGTTGTAAGAGTTTCTTGATTGCCTTTGCCTTGGATTATTTTTCATTTATTTTACATCGCAGAACGTTCATCATTGCAAGTTTTGGATTTGTCTAGATTAAACATATGGACTTAGATTTTGGTGGAGTTAATGCTATTTGGAATATCTTTTGTTCCTCTTTTCCGTGATTATTGTATTCTATTATAGATATTACTTATCATTTCAGCAGCTTCACTCTGATCTGAATTTTTTCACTATTAATCATTTATAGTGGAAGTACCTTTCGAAG